CAAGATCTAATGGTTTTAAAAATGGGAGTTTCTCTGCACAAGCTCTCTTTTTGCCTGCTGCCATCCATGTAAGATGTGACTTGCTCCTCCTTGCCTTCCACCATGATCGTAAGGCCTCCCCAGCCATGTGGAACTGTAAGTTCAATAAACGTCTTTCCTTTGTAAATTCTTGGGTATGTCTTTATCAGCAGGATGAAAACGAACTAATGCAAGTAGGAAACTTGTTAAAAGACTCACAAGGTGTGTTTGGCAAGTTAATGTAGGAGGATTTGAAGTCTTAAAACTAGAATAAATTTTTAACATAAATCTAAAATAATGTTCGCACAAAAAGGTTCCAGGTGACAGCTAAAGAATTTTGTGAAACTTATCATTGTTCAGAAGCATTAGTGTGCAAAGATAAATTAATAATAATGGGAAAGACCAATTATTCATTGAATCTAGAATGAGGTAAGGAGAAAAATATTATCTCTTTGCAAATCTGGCCCAGTACTTTCCCTATAAATTAAAATCTATGATAAATCACAAAGAAATTGGATAGACATCTGCAGCAGAAATTAAATTACCAAAGAAAAACTACACACTTCAAGTGTTTTATGAACATGGAAAGCTTTAAGAGAGGTGGCTTTCTTTGTGGATTGTTTAATGGATTTATTTCTTACTTAAAATGTTCTAAGGAACAAATGTAATGCCTCCCACTCATTAATTCCTTTTGAATACTGAGGGTTTTCTAAGAACTAGACTATGAGGAGGGTGTCTCCAGCACTTTTTCCAGGCTTTGTCAATGTCATCATATCAGATACATAAGGACACAGTGATACACAAAGGTAATGCCCAAATATAAATGTAATACATTGCAGTTACAAGTCCAACTTGTGACTTTGGCTTATGACAAATCACAGTTTAGTTATAATTATGAAAATCATGAAATCAGAATGGAAAGGAGGACCTTATAAATATGAACTTTCTTATCTTTAAAGATGGCTTAGGTTTCTATATAAGATCTACTTTGTATTTAAAATGAATAGTGAAAAGAATATAAATATTACACAAATAAAATAACACTGTGTTTCTTAAAAGTTGTATCTAAAGGGAAATGTTTTCAAAGTTACTGGACATCTTGCTATTTAAAATAACCCTATAATTTGTCCTTTCCCTCTATAAAGTAAAAAGATAACTTACTATTCCTTCATTCTTTTTATTTTTATTTTAAATTTAAATTTTTTGTTTTATTGAAAATATTTGTATTTTTTCAATCTAGATGTTCAAGGCAAGAAAGTAAAATTAAGGAGTTTGCCTTAAACACAGACTCACCTGCTTTCCAAGAAGAATTTTCCCTTTCTGTGACCACAGCTTGAACAAAGACACAACTGGCCATTCAGCAGCTCTGGGCAGGGGAGTTGTCTGTATCTCATAAGCCACTATGGGTCACTACGACATACCAACAAGACAGACAGATGTTAAGTGTCCGGGAGCTAGGAGGGAAGTCTCCCATCTATTATAAGATGCTTTATTGTGGTGGAAAGGGAGAGTTACCTTGATAAATAATAGATATCCCTAAATCTCAGCCTCTCCACTCCAAGCTTGTGCCATCTATTGACCAATCAAGAGACATAATACCCTGCACACCACAGTCCCTTTTCCCCTTATTTCTGCTATCTCCTTCCCACTCCTGTTGTGGCATGATGTGTGTTAGAGTCAATCCCTTGGCAAAGAAGTCAACATAGCTATTTTTATAGTTGTCTCTTGGGGTAAACAGAAACTGAGAGTTAGAAGCAGCTTCTTTCAGAAAAGCCAGGAAGAGATCCACGTACTCTCCACACCTTTGTTTGCACCGTGATCCCTGAAGCAGACCAATGAGTCCAGGGTGTCCATGTGTGAGAGCAAAGCCTTCTGTCTCTCCCAGCGAGGATGCTTTAGGTACCCAGGAAGTACAGTAGCTATCCACCAAGCCAGGGGAAATGTTCAGTCTCTGTCTCAGTCACGTGGGAGGATAACACTGACATTTCAGTGTATACTTTTGTCTGGTTGAACAAACCCTTTTCTTCTAGAAAATAAGGCTGGCTAAGATGTTTTTATTTTTAGATATCCTTAAGGGATAAAATCCATCCAGGCAGCCTAGAGAGGGTAATCCATAAATCAGACATCAGAGCTAAGATTTCATTGCACAGTAACTGTGAGCGGGGAGAGAAGCTTGGCAAGCATTCACTTTACCCCTGCATGGTCTCAGACTAGAATATTGCTGGAGCTGAGACTAGCTTCCAGGCAGATCTATGAAGGTGGCCTTCTGCCTCTGCAGACAAGAAGTCCAACAGGAAGTAAGATTCATATTTCTATAGCACCTTCCTGATCTGCAGTTTTTAAATTAAAAGTGAAGTCTCTTTTTTTTTCTAATTGTATACCATTGTATAAGTGTTGGTCACTATTATTACACGGAATGACCATTTCATTCTCAGTATGAAAATTGAGAAGGAAAATGTGCCAAAGGTGTATTGCATGCTGTGAAGAAGAGTGAACCTGGATTCAGAGGCCTGGGCTCTCCCGCTGCTGTATACAACCAAGTCAGCTCACTCACATGGGCTCTCAGCTTCTCTGTAAACCAGGGTGACTGGAAGGGTGGCAGGTTGGCAGCTCCTGGCTGGTGAATTTAATCACCTTCAAATGGGACACCTGCTCTCCAGGTGGCCAGGGTCCTGTCACCTTTTTGTCTCATACCTGGTTCTCCCTCACACATTTAGAATACCAGCTAGCCCTGAAAGCATTTGAGCTTGAACTTAGAGAATCTCAAGGATCTTTCCCCATCTTAAAAAAAAAAAAAATCCACGATGTTTTGACACAAGGCATCAACCATTAATGCTCCCTCTTTCCCTCACTACTTGGATGTCTCAGCTTGAGCTGCATTTTGAAAATGAAGAGAGATAAAGGCAGCCTAGCAGGAGGACGGAAAGGCGTGTGTTAAGATACGACACTGGGCAGCGTCACTCCACATTCCGGAATTGCAAGCAGTTGGGCCTGACTACAGAGAAGGGTGTAGGAAGTGAGGTAAGCGGAATAGAAAAACTGAGGCAAATACTGAAAGGACTTGTGATTTAACTGAAGGCCCTGAACTTTGTCCTGAAAGCTGGAGACAGATGGGAGAGCAGGGAGGGGCATTGAGGGCTTTTAACCTGTTAAATTTCTATTTTAAGGCCATCATTTTGAAGGCTGCATGGAGGATGGGCAAATATCTTCCCCACCAGCAAAAGTGCTTTCCACAGCAGTAAAATGATGGGCATAGATCAAAGGTTCACAATACTGCTTGCATATAAGTATCAGATGAGACCAGGCATGATGGCTCACACCTGTAATCCCAGCATTTTAGGAGGCCAAGGAAGGCGGATCACCTGAGGTCAGGAGTCTGAGAGCAGCCTGAACATGGAGAAACCCCATCTCTACTAAAAATACAAAATTATCTGGGAGTGGTGGTGCATGCCTAGAATCCCAGAAACTTAGGAGACTGAGGCAAGAGGATTGCTTGAACCCGGGAGGCAGAGGTTGCAGTGAGCCGAGATTGCACCATTGCGCTCCAGCCTGGGTAACAAGAGCAAAACTCCATCTCAAACAAAAAAAGAATCACATAAGAAGCTTGTAATAGTGCTCAGAACCTAGCCTCATACCAAGAGATTTTTATTTAATTGGGTGAGGAATATGGGGGGTGGAAGGAGGCAGTAGGGATGCTTGTCGAAGTGTGAGACTCTCAAAGACTCTTCTTCTTCTGAAATTCTATCAACTACATCAAGGGAGGTCCCCAGCATTCAAATTCAAGAATGGTGAAGAGCCATTTCCTTTGCATCTTCAAACCCCAAAATCTGAAGCAAGGTTTAGAAAGATGTCCCAACAGCTTATGTCACTCTTCTTTAAATTGCTGTTTTTCTTGATCATATCTAGTTTCTCCCTGAAAAAGCATAGAATTATTTCATAGTATGATCTCCAACTCCTATTTTAGAATTCTACATTGTCAAATCATTTTGATGTGAAAAAATACCCGCACCTCCCAAAAAAATAGAAAACAAATATAAAATAAACAAACCCAATTCGCAACTGATAAAGGATTGTTTTAAACCAGTAAATGGGCATATATATCAATACTTAGTCTGTGTAACATTTTTTAGAGTGAGTCATCCCAGGCTTGTGGGTGAGCAGGCTCCCTGCTCATTTTCTGCCTCTGTCTTCTAGTCAGAACCTGAGGGCGTTTACTTTCTTGCTTGTTTTTTTAAAGCTAATATTTATTGGGTAATTCACATAGGCCAGGCATTGTACCAAGGGCTTTACAAATAAGTATCTACCACCATTGTATTAATAAGCAAACTGAAGAGAGGACAAATAACACAAGGACACCTAGCTAGTAAGAAGCAGTGCTGGAATCTGAATCTGCAATCATGCCACCTAAGACCATGGGCTTCATTCACCGTGACCCTATACTCTTTCACCCCTCCTTCACAGCTCTCTAATTTTATCTTGTCTCCTACCCTAACCTGTGGAGCTAGATTCCACTCTGAGTTCACTGAAGGTACATGCAGAGGTAGATTAAGAGCACACACACTCCCTGAGACCATTTGGTCCCCGCTGTTGGATGATCCATAAGTTTGCTGTCAATAGGGCGCCCTCTGCTGTTTAAACAATGTAGATGTGTGTTAAGAATAGAGGACCATGAAGATTCACTTCTTATGAGGAAACCAATTCTTGAGATCAATATATACTTTATAAACAAACAACTGTACCTCCCCATCATAAAGAAAACACTCCTGCTCCACAGATCGACCCAAAAATGGCTTCAACCCAAAAAAGCCAGAGGCATCAATCTCATTTTTCAAGATGGATTATATCCAAATTCAAGCCATGGAATCATTATGGCGGTCCTTAAGTCAGTCTCCCCACCTGCTGTTAGATGTTATGTTCCTGTGTATGCACTGTTCACCCTGAACTGATGCCCTAGCCTTTATAACCACTGAAAGTGTGATTATGAGAAGAGGGAATGCCTCCTACCTTGGGCATCGTAATGATTCTGAACTTGCTGCTAAGAGCACAGCGCCCTGGATGCTTGCTTTCTTTACCCAGAAATTATAAAACATTTAGGAACTCCTGGGGCACGTTAATCATAAAATATTCAGCAACATCTGTGGCATATTATTTACTGACATACTGGACCCAGAAAATATGGCGCCTGTAATTGCATCACGTGGACTGTTACAGCGTGACTGGAGGCACTATTTTATGGCCCTTTGCTTCCAGGCTCCTCTCTCTCTCTCATGTGGTATTTCTCCCCAGCATGTCATAGGCATGGGGGTACCAGTACAAGGTTAAGAACAGGTTTGTGCTCAGAGTTTCCTAGAGAAAGTAATTTTTACCAAAGGCAGCCTGGTCATGCTGGGATGGGGTTGTGTCCATCTCCTCCAGAAATGCACAGGTGAGTCACAGAGGCAAGGGAAGAACAGACAAGGTCACAGCTGAGGCAGGAATTGTCTGGAGGATTGTCAGAGCACCTCCTCCCTCCCTGGATTTTGTGCATGCAATCAACACAAACATACACACACATACACACACACACACAGACATGCACACACAGAACCTTCCAGCTGCTTCGCCCCAGAAACTGACAGAATTCCTAGAAGGAATAGCAGACCAAATAGTTCTTTTAGGCAATCAGACAATAAATAAGCAATCAACACCTTCTCTGCCAGACTGTGCACCAAGCTCAGCCACCATATGATTGTAGTGCTCTGTGATCCTCTGTGTTCTTATATGGAGTGGGCTTCAGGGTGGAGGAGACAAGAAAGTCACTTGGAGAGATGTTGAGAACTACACACCCTTCTGTCACTGAATTCTGGCAAACAACTGCCCTCTGCAGCCCAAGCTCATCCCACTCCCAATTGCACCCTTATTTTGAAAAAGTCCCTCACTGGATATAGCTCCATCCCTTCAAGAACTGTGAGCTTAGATCCTTTATGCCAGATATCCTGGCTATTTTATTAATAACACTCACTTTGACTCTCTAAAGTACCTCAGGTGGCGATATAAGTTATCCAGTCATTCGATATAAAAACCCTTCTAGATACAGTGTGACTTTAACACACCCTCGCAAAGATGCCAGGGCTTCAGAATCTTCCCTCTTCCCCCAAAGAAATCTCCCCAACTGTTTTGAGATTCCCAATTGGGATGTCTCATAAATGTCTCAGCCTTCGCGTGGTGGTTTCCATTCTTCCTCCATCCTGCTCTGCTTCCCCCAGAGTCTCCTAGGAAAGCTATAGGAATGTGAAGACCCCTTGCCATAGTCTCTGCCTCTCCCACCACTGAGGGTGCCACCCACGGAGGCCTTCTCCAAGGCCTGACATAATCGCACCTTCACTGCCCCCAGTTCCGCATATTGAAGGTGGAGAGTCCCATGTACCTCCTGTGCCGTGCTCAGGAAGGAGGCCTAGGAAGCAAAGCCCACTCAGGCCCCCAGCAACTCCCAGGGGTCATTCTTGCATAACATCTAGTCTCATTGCTGATTTCTCCTTTTACAGAGACCACAAAGTCATGACCTCTCAGCCAGACCTATATTGCTGGTGTGTTTTTGTTTTTGCTTTTTGCATTGAGCCAATGTTTTAGAATTCGATTTTACATAAAATCAATGATGTGTTGTAGAACCACTCACAAGAGCCAAGGGTTAAATTTTCAAGAATTTTGTGAGTGTCCTGTGTTAGAGAGAGATCCAAGATGGCTGATCACTAGCAGCTCGGGATTGCAGCTCCCACTGAAAGAGCAGAGAACGAGAGGACGACACACTTTCAGATCAATTTTTGTTGCTCACACACCAGGAGATTCCCAGCGGAGGAGCCCCACCTGTCGCCAGCGTGACTCTTGAGGCCGGTGAGGCGGTTTTGCCGCTGCCTTGGTGTGGCGGTTCTTGGTGCAGAGTCAGAAAAGCATCATCAATCTTAAAGCCGCTGTTTTGGCCGGAGCAGTGGGTTGCTCAGATTCTAGCGCCGGGAATCAACAAGTTGGACGTCCATTCAGAAACCCAACTATAAAGACGGTAATTATAAAGACCACAGATGGATAGATCTATAACGAAGGGAAGAAAACAGCCTAAAAAGGCTGAGAATACCCAAACTCAGAACGCCTCTCCCTCTACAGGGGATCACAGTTCCTCATCAGAAACAGAACAAGGCCTGATGGAGAAAGACTGTGTTCCATTAGCAGAAGCTGGCTTTAAAAAGTGGATGATAAGAAACTTCTGGGAATTAAAAGAACTTGTTCTAACCCAATGCAAAGAAACTAAGAACTTTGAAAAAAGGTTTGACGAAATGTTAACAAGAATACACAATTTAGAGAGGAATATAAGTGAATTAATGGAGCTGAAAAATACAACACGAGAATTTTGCGAACTATGCACAAGTTTTAACAGCCGAATTGATCAAGTAGAAGAAAAGATATCAGAAGTCGAAGACCAACTTCATGAAATAAAACAAAAAGACAAGATTAGAGAAAAAAGGATAAAAAAGAACGAGCAAAGTCTCCAAGAAATATGGGACTATGTGAAAAGACCTAATCTACGTTTGATAGGTGCACCTGAATGTGACGAAGAGAATCAATCCAAGCTGGAAAATACGCTTCAGGATATTATTCAGGAAAACTTTCCCAACCTAGCAAGGCAGGACAATATTCAACTCCAGGAAATACAGAGAACACCACAAAAATATTCCTCAAGAAGGCCAACCTCAAGGCACATAATTGCCAGATTCACTAGGGTTGAAATGAAAGAGAAAATACTGAGGGCAGCCAGAGAGAAAGGTCAGGTTACCCATAAAGGGAAGCCCATCAGACTCACAGCAGATCTCTCAGTAGAAACCCTACAAGCCAGAAGAGAGTGGGGGATAATATTCAACATCCTTAAAGAAAAGAACTTTCAACCCAGAATTTTACATCCAGCCAAACTAAGCTTCATAAGCGAAGGAAAAATAAAATCTTTTGTGAACAAGCAAGCACTCAGAGATTTCATCACCACCAGGCCTGCTTTACAAGAGCTTCTGAAAGAACCACTACAAATAGAAAGGAACAACTAGTATCAGCCTTTCTAAAAAATACCAAAAAATAAAGAACATCAACATATTTAAGAAATTGCATCAACTAATGGGCAAAACAGCCAGCTAACATTAAATGACAGTATCAAATACACATATATTGTTATTAATTTTAAATTTAAATCGACTAAATCCCCCAATCCAAAGACACAGACAGGCAAAAAAGCCAAAACCCATTGGTATGCTACATCCAGATCCATCTCACATGCAAGGATACATAAAGACTCAAAACAAAGGGATGGTGAAAAATTTACCAACCAAATGGAGAGCTAAAATAAATAAATAGAAAGCAGGAGTTGCAATTTTTGCTGATAAAATAGATTTCAAAGCAACAAAGATCAAAAGAAGCAAAGAAAGATATTACATAAAGATAAAAGGATCAATGTAACAAGAAGAGCTAAAGATCCTAAACATATATGCACCCAATACAGAAATACCCAGATATATAAGACTTACAAAGAGACTTGGCAATATTAGATAGATCAATGAGACAGAAAGTTAACATCGATATCCAGGACTTGAACTCAGATTTGGAACAAGTAGACTTAATTAACATTCATAGAACTCTCCACTTTAAATACACAAAATATACACTCTTATCAGTACTACATCACATGTATTTACAGGTTTAAATGAAATATTGGTTGGCTGCTTGTTAATTATTTTATTCCCTCATTTTTTTTTATGTCTATTATTAAACACAATTACAGGCATACCCAGTTTTAGACTGCATTCTAGCCCGGGCAATAAAGCAACACCCCTGTTCTCTCTCCCTCTTCCTCTTCCTCTTTCTTCCTTTCCTGTATTCTTTTTTTTTTTTTTTTTAA